ACATCTGGGTCACTTAGAGTATCAAGTGATCTGTGAAAAGGTGACACCTGGGTTACATAGCCAGGCACTGACCAGTGCGATGTGAAAAGGTAACATCCACGTCATTTAACTTGGCACTGTCCAGTGCAGTGTGAAAAAGTGATGTTTGGGTCATTTAGCAGGGCATTCTCCAGTGCAAGGTGAAAGGGTTACATCCAGGTCATTTGGCTGGGCACTGTCTAGTGTGGAGTGAAAATGTGACATCTGATTCATTTAGCTAGACAATGTCCAGGGCAGTGTGAAAAGGTGACATCTGGGCCACTTAGCTGGGTACTGTCCAGTGCTGTGTGAAAAGGTAACATCCAGGTAATTTATCTTGACACTATCCTGTGCAGTGTGAAAAAGTGATGTTCAGGTCATTTAGTGGGGCACTGTCCAGTGTGGTGTTAAAAGGTGACATCCGGGTCATTTAGCTGAGCCCTGTCCCTCGCAGTGATATAGGGTGATGTCTGGGTCATTTAACGGGGCACTACTCAGTGTGGTGTGAAAAGGTGACATCCAGGTTATTTAGCGGGGCACTGTCCAGTGTGGTGTGAACAGGTGACATCGGGTCCTTTAGCTGGCACTGTTTAGTGCAGTGTGAAAAGGTAACATCTGGATCATTTAGCTAGGAACTCTCCAGAGTGGTGTGAAAAGGTGAAGTTTGGGTCGTATAACTTGGCACTGTTTAGTGTGGTGTGAAAATGTGACATCTGGATCATTTAGCTGGGTTCTGTTTAGGGTACTGAGAACTGGTGACGTCTGGGTCATTTAGCTGGGCACTATCCAGTGCTCTGCAAAAAGGTGACATCCGGGTGATTTAGCTTTGCACTGTGCAGTTCAGTGAGAAAAGGTTACATCCGGGTCATTTGATGGGGCACTGTCAGTGCAGTGTGAAAAGGTGACATCGATTCTTTTAGCTGGGTATTGTCCAGTGCAGTGTGAAAAGGTGACATCAGGGTCATTTAGCTTGGCACTGTCCAGCGTGATGTAAAAAGGTGGCATCCAGGTCAATTTTCTGGGCAACGTCCAGTGTGGTGTGAAAAGGTCATGTCCAGGTCATTTAGTTGGCAGTGTTCAGTGCAGTGAGAAAAGGTTACATCTGGGTCATTTAACTGGGCACTGTCCAGTGCAGTGTGAAAAGGTGACATCGGGTCATTTAGCTGAGCACTGTCCCTTGCAGTCTTAAATGGTGATGTCTGGGTTATGTAGTTGGTGACTGTACAGTGCAGTGTGAAATGGTGATGTCTGGGTCACTTAGCAGGGCACCATCCAGTGTGGTGTGATAGGTGATGTCCACGTCATTTAGCCGGCACTGTCCAGTGGGGTGTGAAATTGTGATGTCTGGGTCATTTATTTGGGTAACGTCCAAAGTGGTGTGAAATGGTGATGTCCAGGTCATTTGATGGGGCACTGTCCAGTGTGGTGTGAAAATGTGACATAAGGTCATTTATCTGGGCGCCGTCCAGTGTGGTGTGAAAAAGTGACATCCAGGTCATTTTGCTAGATGCAGTCCAGTGCAGTGTTAAAGGTTGACATCCAGGTAATTTAGCTGGGCTCTGTCCAGTGCAGTGTGAAAAGATGACATCCTGGTCATTGTCTTCTATGGTGTGAAAAAATAACCTCCATTCATTTAGCTGCACTATACTGTGTGGTTTAAAAAGGTGACATCAGGGTCATTAAATTGGGCACTGTCAAGTACGGTGTGAAAAGGTGAAATTTGGGTCACTTAGCTGGGCACTGACTAGTGTAGTGTGTAAAGGTGACGTCCAGCACTTTTAGTCTGGCAGTGTCCAGTGCACGGTGGAAAGGTGACTTGGGTTATTTACCTTGGCACTGTCCAGTGCAATGTAAAAGTTGAAGTCTGGGTTGTTTAGTCAGGCACTGTCCAGTGTGGTTTCAAAAGGTGACATCTGGGTCATTTAGCTGGACACTGTCCAGTGTGTTGTGAATAGGTGACATCGGGTCACTTAGCTGAGTACTGTCCAGTGCAGTGTGAAAAGGTGACGTCCGGGTCAAACAGCTGGGCATAGTCCAGTGTGATGTGAAAAGTGACATCTGGGTCATTAAGCTGGTTACTTTTTGGGCAGTGAGAATGGGTGACATCTGGGTCATTTACCTGAGCACTTCCAGTGCCGTGTGAAAGGATGACGACTGGGTCATTTATCGGGGCACTGTCCATTGCAGTGTGAAAAGATGATGTCTGGGTCGTTAAACCTAGGCACTGTCTAGTGTGGTGTTCAAAGGTGACATTGGTCATATATCTGGGCACTGTACAGTGTGGTGTGGGAAGATGACATCATGGTCATTTAGCTTGGCACTGTCTGGTGCCATCTGAAAAGGTGACATCCGGATCATTTAGCAGGGCTCTGTCCAATGTAGTGTGATAGGTGACATCTGGTCCTTTATCTGGGCACTCTCTAGTGCATTGTTAAAAGGTGACATCCTTGTCATTTACCTGGGTACTGTCTAGTGAAGTGAGAAAACTTTACGTCCAGGTCCTTTAGATGGGCACTGTCCAGTTCAGTGTGAAAAAGTGACTTCGGGTCTTTTGCTGGGCACTGTCCAGTGCAGTGTAAAAAGGTGACATCTGCATCACTTGGGCACTGTCTAGTGCGGTGTGAAAAGGTAATTGCCAGGTCATTTATCTTGGCACTGTCCAGTGCAGTTTGAAAATGTAAAGTCTGAGTCATTTAGCTGGGCACTGTAAGGTGCAGTGGGTAAAGATGATGTCCTGGTCATTTATATGGGCACTGTCCAGTGCCTTGTGAAAAGGGGACACTGGGTCATGTATCTGGGCACTCTACAATGTGGTGTGAAAAGGTGACGTTTGGGTCATATTGCTTGGCACTCTTCAGGGCAGTGAGAAAAGGTGATGTCGTGTCATTCAGCTGTGCACTATTCAGTGCAGTGTGAAAAGGTGACCTCAGGTCATTGAGCTGGGCACAGTCCAGTTTGGTGTGAAAAGTGACATCTGGGTCATTTAGCTGGGCACTGTTCATGGCAGTGAGAAAGGGTGATGTCCAGGTCATTTACCTGAGCACTCTACTGTGTAGTGTGGAAAGGTGATATTGGATCATTTGGCTGTGCACTGTCCAGTGTGATGTTCAAAAGTGACATCCAGGTCACTTAGCTCGACACTCTCCAGTGCAGTGTGCAAAGGAGATATCTAGGTCATTTAACCTGGCACTCGCCAGTTCAGAGTGAAAAGGTTATATCCAGGTCATTTTTCTTGGCACTGTCCAGTGCAGTGTCAAAAGGTGACATCAGGGTCATTAAGCTGGGAACAGTCCCATGCGGTGTGAAAATGTGACCTTTGGGTCATTTAGCTGGGCACTATCGAGTGCAGTGTGAGAGGGTGATGTCCAGGTCATTTACCTGGGCGCTTTCCAGTGTGGTGTAAAAAGGTGACCTTGGGTGACCTAGCTGAGCACTGTCCAGTACAGTGTGAAAACGTGACATCTGGGTCATTTAGCCTGGCACTGTCCAATGTGGTGTGAATAGGTGACATCGGGTCACTTAGCTGGGTATTTTCCAGTGCAGTGTGAAAAGGTGACATCTGGGTCATATAGCTGGGCACTCTCCAGTGTGGTGTGAAAAGTGACATCCAGGTCATTTAGCTGGGCACCGTTCATGGCAGTGAGAAACAGTGGTGTCTGGTTCATTTACCTGGGCACTTTCCAGCTGGATGTGAAACGATGAAGTCCAGGTCATTTACCTGGGCAATGTCCAGTTCACTGTGAAAAGGGTCAGTGGGTCAGTTCTCCTGGGTCAGCTTCCCAGTCACTCCCCATCTTTAGTCCCTCCCTCAGTGAGAGTCATGTGTTTCCCCCCATCTGTCACTCCCTCTCTGGTTTCACCACCTTGTCCCAACCTCTTGCTCCCTTTACCACATGACAGGCAGCTCCAGGCCCTGACCCACCATTTACGCTGAGGACTAGAGTGAGTAATGAATGAATCTGCTCCCTGTACTCAGGTCCTGATTCCTGATTCTCCCTCTGATGGGGGTGCCTAAAGGACCTGGTTGGAGCTCTGATGGAAGAGAAGGGCCTGTATCCTGATACCTCTAGCCTTGGGGAGGGTTACAGGCAAACATTCTTCTTTTCCTTCACTCCCAGTTTCTTAACTTGCAGCACACATAGCCCTCAGTGTAATGGTCTCTACCCCGACTCAGTCCATTCCTGGTCCTGCTCTGCTGTGACCATCAACTGCAGTCCAGTCCCAGCTATCTCCTAATTGACCTCTCCTCCAGGGAGCAGTTGCTCAGTGGCTCAGGATGTGGGGTCTGCAGGAGGATGGCTGCCAGGTGCATGCAACAGGCTGAGACAGAATTCTCCTCGTTCCATGGAGAACTGGCCTCCTCCTAATCTCACATACACAGTCTCTACTGTTCGCCTTCTGCCTTACCTGCTGTGACCCAAGGCACTTTCTGTGAGAACACACCCCTGAACTCTAGCCTTTTGAGTTGAGTTTGCAAGGCCTTCCCACCTCTCCTCCTGGGATTAGACCCAGGCCCCTCTCCTCTTAGCCTCTTGGATGAGTCCCGTTCCCCTCAACACAGCCTGTGGAGCCACCATGGGCTCTCCCCCAAAAGCGAGTCCTGCCCATGACTTGTGTGCTCCACACCACCTCCCACTGGCCCAAATAGACTCTCTCAAAGAGAGGATCTGGTCTGAGTCAGACCTGACTTTGCTAAACCCCTTTACTATCAACAGGCCCTAAGCCTTGTGGGCCCCTCCCCTTTCCCACTGGTCTTACCAGTGAGGAGATAGCAGAACCCAGGTCTGAAATTGTCCAACTTATTGCTGTCAAGGGCCATGAGGTCTTATTAACCAGGTCTCATTTCCATGATAAGAAAGTTCAGTGAAGGAGCAAAAGGTGAGTGGGAATTCACCATTCCCTATCCTCCAGGCTATATGTCCCTCCCTTCCCTCTCAATCTGCTCTCAGTACCTAGTAATATAATGGACTGAGCCTAGGATGTCAAGGATAGTAAAGCAGGTGAGTGTCACCAGGAGGATCCAGGCAATGGGCATGATGGCCGGGGCCCTGGATTGGGCTGTAGCTGGGGCTGAGGTTGGTGATGCTGAAATGGAAAAAGAAAAGTGAAAGACCTTGTCCAGACCCCAGATCTCCTCTGTGGAGACTCCTTCTCAGCTCCTACTGCCCCAGATAATCCTATAATGCAGACATTTTCTACCCCTCTACTTGTGGCAGCCACTGTGACAGGCCTTGAGAGAGGAAGAGAGAAAGGAGAAGGGCCCTGTCCCCAAGGGGCTCATACAGCTAATGGAAGAACAAAGGTTACAATGTAACCAATACTCCTGCTGTGACAGAAGAGGAGGTGACACCTGAGGATGGTGGTAGAGAAGTTCTCTCAGGAGCTGACATTTGAGGTGATATTGAAGCATTTCCAGAAATAGACCAGGTGAGATG